GTATCAGTGATATCTCAAAAGCATAGCATATATTCGCACATTATTTAGCTCTCATATACATTCGTAATCCGCATTTGACAACTGAGCAATTTTTAACGTACTTAAACAGTCTTTCTTAGTACACACTTACTTTTAACCTTTTTTTCGCCATCAAACTTGATAGATATTAGCTCCCACATAAATTCCTAAACCATAACCTATCATTCAAACTTATAAACCACATTTGATGATGATAGTTTTCGACCTACTTAAGTGTTCTTTTTTGAAATCCTTATAGGAATTTTATTTGCTCACTTCCTCTCAAATAGTTTTTATTTAATTTTGGTAGGTGTTGGGGGTAAGGGGGTTACATTGTATAAAATAAATTTTTCCACAAATGTAATCTTGTACTAGAGCCTTTTGTGTTCATTATAATGGTGGACTCTTGTTTGCAATCATTTGAGCAATTTTCATCCTTTTTATCAGAATGGATTACAAATCAGCTCCATTACAGTTGCATCGCCTCCTGGTCCAGCTACTGTTCCTGCACTCCCTACTTCACTCTCTGACTGTCCCTCTTGTCCCAGTCCATCTAATTTGGATCCGACGACCTGTAACACTACCAATGTAGCTGCTCCAGATTCCGTCTTCATGACAACCGTTGGAAATGTTTCAGCTATCCAACGCCCAGGCACCTCGGCTCATCTCGGCCTTGGGCATTTGCTTATTCCTCCCTTAGATGCTTTACACTCTGCGCTCTCCGCTCATCCCGCTATTATTATAGCAGAACTTGACGATACTACTGCGTCTGCAGTTGCAGCTGCCGCTGCCGCTCTAGCTACAAGTTCTGAAGGTGGGGTAGCGGCCACAGTTCATGGTCACTCGGTTCTGATGAATCATCATCTTGGCCTGGGCACGGATCCACCAGAGCTAGTATTGGAGGAAGTCGGCCGACGTCTTTTCATTTGCCTTCTAGCCACATTGAAGTCCGTGGCAGTGCAGGTTTGCTATTGAAATATTTTGCTTATTTTTTATTTTCTTTAATCCTTGCTATTTTCCTTAAAACTATTTTATTCTCTACTTAAACTATTTCTCGAACAAACTAATGGCGACAACTGATTTTATATTAAAAGTTTAAGGTTACGAACTTTTTGATTTAGTCAAGTGTTAAGTTCCGATATGACAAAACATTGAAATAATTTTGAAAATTTTTACACCTAAATGCTATAAAAATCACATCCTGAAGTACATTATAAAATATTCCTGTTAAGTTATGTAGAACTCTGGCTTTGATGAGCCTACAAATATAT